CGGTCTTTTGTGAGTAATACTTTTTTATACGTCTCATGGGAATCTCGGGCATATCATATATGATCATTGCTCCCGAAACGCTTTCATAGTAGCGTGAAAGTACGCGTACGACCGAAAAAAAATTTTTCTCGCACGTCCAGAGCGACTTTTGTCGAATAACACAAATGCGTGACCGCCCACCCCTACGCTTTCCGATCAGTCACCAGCTTCGCACTCATTCTGACGTGTAACTCAAAATAGCGTGTAATTCTGTTCAGCGTTCCTCTGAACAACCGTAAAACAAGCCCAACAAAGTCTCCGGGTTAGCGCACGTTCATATGAGCTTAACTAGCTTACGCACAACCTTCATGTTTTTCTAGGGTAGATCTACTGGATACAAAATGCTTTTTCAATGGACCATGCTCATGGACCGTTTTCTCAATGCTTTCTGCATGAGAATACTAGCACTTTATTCCCGACAAATGCTCATAGCACTCTGCATAGCCGCTATAGTTGAGTTACTTTCAACCCGACTTGCAATTTACCGGTGGTTTGAATTCAACAATAACTCGTTGGAAGGATGGACGGACACCTCTTGTCCGCTGCATTTCCTTCGTCACCCGACTCTTCTCGCTATAATACCGTTATCTTTTGCTTAACCAAGTATGATCTGGAAGGCATCACAAAGAGTATGCGTTCCCAAAGATTGTCATTCCTAAAACATGAATCTTAATTGTACTGGACACCCTCTTCTCTACCTTGGTAATCCGTCGCTTCCTGTCTACAGCTTCTCTTTTACCCATATAAGGAAGAATGCAATCCTGGAGTTCCACTAACCAAAGCAACGGGTTGGTATTACAGCTTAGTTCATATTCCGTTTGAACGGAGGCCGTCCGGCTGTCAGCGGATACCAAAACGCTGAAGAGTATTATGATACTTCTTGAACAGCATATTGTTCGCCGAAGAGGGAACCGTCAATATGTGAGTGCGTACAATAACAAAGGCATTCTGACTGATCAAAGTTTATCATTCAACCGGAAACTAAACGAAATCGTGAATAAAACGCGCATATCACTAAAATGATAGGTACGCAAGTTTGGTTGATACGCATGTGCCAACTAACAGTTTGCATTAAAATCAAGATGCGCTTTTCGTTAGCCGTCACCGTTAAGAGGAAACCGGAGACTATAATCTTTTAGTGAGTTGCCTGATATTCCGTTAAGCAATCATTGTAGTAAGTGTTGTCACTTTACCGTTCAAATCGTTTACCGTACACTTATCCATTCACTTAACCCGTATGTCTGTCAGCCTAGCGGATGCTTTTTATGGTGGCACACGATTTTGTTGTTGCTGTTTGGATCACTTCTCGCCCTTTTGCTTTCATTGATCTTAAGGAAGCGGAATCCAAACGTCTACTCTGTGAAGCTTTGACGGAGGCGAAAGACAATATCGTTCTTGCGTGGCACCAACAACTGACGAAAAGCGGTGCACGATTACCCCTTTCCGCTCCTCGAACCGTATCACCACCGCCGCCACTTACAGAAAATGCTGAGGTTGCGCTAGATTCGAACATTTCCTCTTCTCCTCCATTATCTCAGCATGAGAAGATGGAATTGGAGCTGCTGGAGGTGTGTGTTTTGACAACCTCGATATTCATCGGTCCCATCTGTCAAAACTAGCTACATATATGTACCAAGAGATTGTGGAGCATTTAGTAATACTTCATAGTGGTGATTTCATATGATATTGTGTTTACATACACTCTTAACACTATAGTAGCATAAAACAAATGCTATGTAGTTATGATTAAGATAGCAGTAGGTCGAGCTACCCTTCACAGAGTTGAACTGAACGACACGAACTGAGACTCGCAACATTCAGTAACCCCACACGTTTCGACAGGCCGAGCTAACGCCACGGCACTGATCGGGACTCTCTGTGTGATAGACAATCTGTGCGTGTTTACGTCGAAACTCACACCGTTTTAGATGGATGGTGAATTGAATTCGCTCACTTACATGTGCACGTATGTCTAGTGTTAGTGCATTTAAAAGCAAGAGTCGCTCTACCTAACCTTATTACGAAGATGCATTTCGTATTTCACCGGGTTCGGGACACGTATGACTAAGGTTCAATATGTCTCTTGGATGTAGTTGAATTAGTTACTTCAGAATAGACGCGCCACAAGTTCTACTAGTATCTAACGTAAACTTCGTCTCTACGGTGCGCACAACTATTGCTTCATTCACCCTCTTTACGCGCGCGCGCGCGCACGCACACCAGCTCACGAACAGTAGTGTCAAACCATTTCTTCGGTCATAACAGAATGAAGGCATGGTTCAGCTACCGGGCTGTACATCCATCGCTTATAATGCCAAATTCTTCTGAAAGAATGAAGACGTTGCAGGATATTTCCATTCCCTACAATCTTACCATCGACTGCTGCACCGATTTGTATGGGACGCAAACAGGATGAAGGCGTAACAACAAGATTAAGGTACTCAGGGATAAGTCTTAGGTAGGGCCAAACATCTAATTGGACGGTTGGTAGGTGTCCTTCTGGTATAAAACTTATAAGAAGTTCCCTTGTGAGGAGGGATGATATCCACTGATCTACATGTACACTTCCTCCAAATCACACATCTTATTACAAGAACATATAAGCCTTTATTAGTGAGTACACATCACCGAACAATAATTTGGAGGATACGATCAAATGGATCATCAATGGACTGCATGACCAGCCGACACACAGGCCCACATCTGCCTGTGTTTTACTGGAGACGGGGGTTGTGTTCGCAGTTATGGCAGATGGTATAAGGTTGGCGACGTCTAGCTGATGGAGAGGACCCTCTGAGTGTTCTGAGGCTTTCAATCCGTTTTTTGTTGACTGCAAAATACCGGCCGAACGAATGACGTAAACATCGTTCTTTTCAGCCAAATAGATGCATATTTGCCAACACACCTGTGGCTGAATTATTATACAATTGTAGACTGAGGAGCCATTCATTCTACATGCCAAACCCCTAAACTGAATTCCTCGAGCCCAGGACCACGTCATGGCTGCATCGTACGTGTTCTAGTTCATCTACCTTATTTATTGTGCATCATCAAGCTGAGTTTTACTTTGGATCTTACTGCTTTAAAAAAAAGAAATTCATTCAGTCTTCACTGAAAAGTATTGTGATCAACATCGCTTATGGTGACTTTTTGGTGAATAATCTGTATCACCCATCGACAGTATGATCACTGGAATGCTAGTGCTTAGACAATCAAGTCAACAACCTTAGTTACCGCCATCCTTCTTTTGCATTTCCAACCGCGCTACATATCTAGTGGGCTAAACCTGTTATTTTTTGTGCACACAGTGTCTGTATCGTATGTTGTTGAATCACCTACGTGGAGGTACGCTGTGGAGTACAATGAGCAGGTTCGTTGCACAGTCGTTTGGTTCGGAGATCTCGTCATCCATGTGCCGAATTGGCGAATCTCCCGAAGACGGGCTGACTCGAGACTTCTGTACCATCATCAAGAAGCTTCAATTGCAAAGTTATCGGGATGATGTGGCCCTGTATCCTTCTTCATGGCTCTTCACATACTTGTATTCAGCATTGGGAAAGCTGTGGCGTTCTGCTGAGGCACCGTTGTGTAAAGCACTTCGCGGTCCACACGCTGTGTTGGCTTGGTATCAATTTATTCAAGATGCGGTAGTATGTGCACTTGACCAGTTGAATGGTAGGTTTCAGTACTATTCGTCGTCTGCCTTAATTGACGCCATCTAACTGAAAGTTCTTGAAAAGCAGCGTTTTTATTGGTCCCTACGGTAACTTTTGTGCTCTTTTCTGGTGTTGCACTCTTGTTCCCGTTGCTACCTGACCGGATGTCGATTTGCACTCGACTATACGCATCGAATCTTTCCTGGACTGTCTGTCCTCTTGTAAGTTTACCTCTGGTGCATGTAGTGTCACAACAGTTGAGCCTAGATCATCAAACAGGCTGTCAGCCACTGTTCGCAATCGAAACAGCTGGCATGCAGGTTCACCACTCGACACTCTAGGACTGTATGGTCCCAGCACACTCCAAAGTTGGGGAATAACTTGAGGGTTTCAAGCACTTTTGATGCCCGCGATATCTAGCAATACGTGTGACTAATCGACCGGGTCTAGAGCTTCACATCTTTAACATTGCAGATTGATATCAGGCCACCAGGTTTGACGACCTTCTCAACCGACATCTAATTAATTCCCCTAGGTGGACATCCGACTTAGCGATTAACCCGATAACGTGTGACTTACTTTACCCGCCGATTCAACTCATAAATGAACTTCGCTATTCGAGTAGTATTGTGTTATCCCACTTTTACGAGCGATTGCAATTCAAGTGAACACACCTTGTGCCCGTCTCTTCCCGGCTGTTGACATCCCTAGTTGGTTTCATCACTTTTTGCATTAAGGTCACGCTGTTCTCTGAGTACTTTGGTATCAGAGTTCCACCAGCTACCTGTTGCAGACTGAAAGCAGTTATTGACTATGTCTAGGATTCACGATGTTCAAACTGATTGACGTCTGAAATCTGAAAATCCCGACTCCCCCGATGAAATGGGTTTCTCAAAATTGTTTTTACAAAGTTAACGCCAATGAAATTAACTGGATGCCTACACTATCAGGGTTTGCACAGAAATATACCTTTCCATATCGAAAATATTATCGAAAATCTCGGAAAATAGGATTATCACACTATGCCTCCAAACAGGCGAACCGTGATTAAAGACGCCAAGATATCAGCAAGTTAAACAGAGCCTGTTCACTTCGGTATTGTTGTATAAAGATGTTTGAATCTCATATGGTAACTAAGGAAAACATCTGCCCAGTAAAGTAGCAATCATGTCTTCATATACTCTAGTGAAACATTCCCGGCATTAACAGACGATGAGCAAGACCCCTCTACCGGGTTCATCCCGGGGGAGCTGGACAGAAGCATGTTTTTTTTCAAACTTTCGTTCATGATTACCTTTAAAATACGTGAGAATTATTTTGAACCCTACCACATGAAATGAGGTCTTTTTTTGGCACAACTTAGCCACCTTACAAATAAAGAATAATTTATAATAATTGCTCTGCTGCCAGGTTGCCCAAGCCTGGACAGGGGAATTCGAGAGGCGGAGGTCGGTTTCGAACCACGGACCTTCCGGTCATTAAATTCGTGCTCTAACCACTTGAACCATCTCGCAAACAAAGAATTACAATACCCAATTAGGGGCCGCACCATCGATCTAGAAATAATGACAGTCATTCACCTGTGGCATTTTCGATGCATAACGTCCACCGCAATACGATTGCATTAATCGCTGGCAAAAAATTTCACTCGTCTTATCCTTCTTCCGTAGTTGAGCCGTACTGATATTTTCACAGCCCTTGCTCATCAAAAACCTTCACTTTCGGTTCTTCTGTCATCTACGTAGTGGCCGATCAATATATTAATCTGGACGCGACAAAAGCACACACACGAACCGATGGGAAACGTGTTCGTATGCGCCAAGCGCGTGCTGAACGTCGCACCGTGCAGTTAGGTAGCCGAAAATCCACTACTGGTCCGCACTTGTCTTCAGCCGAACCAGGACTAGCTACTCAACGAATACGTCCGATCAGTCTGGCGGGGCAGGCCGGTGTATTTCAGTCACCAACGGAAAATTACCATGAAGAGCCGGTGGAGACGATGGACAATGTCACAGAAACGAATATTGAGCCCTCGGTCCCCGCGGCCCCCAATGAAGCTCCTTTTCTGTTGTCTAGCGCTATTTCGTCTGATGTCGAGTCGGATGCTGGTGTAAATACGGTACTCCGGGAAAGTTCCACGTGAGTTTATTCAACCTACATCTACTGAACAATAAAGATTGCAGTGTATCGTTTTATTTCTCTGCTGATTTTTTATCGAGTATTACTGGGTTCTGTGTGCATTAACTCTTCTAACAACCGCTTCGCGACAAAATTAACTGGTCATCCTGTTTTTCGTATACAATTACTGCAGTTTCAGTCCCAAAACGAACATACCATTGTAGCGTTTTGGAGTTTATGTTGTCGCGAGCTGCATGATGGAAGGAAACTTCAGCCTTGATTTCAGTTCGATTTTCACTAAAATGTGCGTAGTCTTCACGCGGAAAGTAGTCTCCGGCTGTTCTGAAGTCGCAGTCATATAATTTTGCGGACCATCTTCTGTTTTCGTTGTTTGTGTGCCTCCTGGAAAGTTGTGAAAATTCAGCGTCGAGTGCTGTCTTGTTACCGTGAATTCACGACGTTCTGGTGATAAAATTACAGAAAATGTGTTTGAAACCCATGTTAGTCAAATAAACTTATCCTCCAGACACACACAGTGACTCCAGGTAAGTCGAATCTGCTGTTCTCCATATGTTTGGCCACTCTGAATGGCTCGATAAGGTTTAATTCTCCGATATCTTGATAAAGTTGTCATGCATTTTGGATCAGTTACCCGCGTTGTTAGATTTTTTAGTTCTAGCCATTATTCAGGTGGCTTGTTCGACCTTCCATAAAGTTAGCACATAGATAACTGTGTGGAAAGCGGACGATAGTGCATACGTGCTCCAAGTCCTGGGACAGTTGTGATCAGGGAAGCATTTCGCGACAAAACAACCGAGTGTCGGTTGATAGCACATGGATTGCACTCGTTGTTGGGGGAACTACCGCTTCTTAGTAGGGGGAGTATTCAGTTATCAACAGATCACTCATCCCTTCATACTATAGCTGTTTGTTACAGCTAGCAGGTAGTCAGCCATGAAACAAAAAGTACCTCGGTGAATCAATTGATCTACCTGTGATAGGCGCTTACTTACCACGAGCCGCACCAACTGCGCGCAGTTCATCTAATTTGATATAGCATGCTGCGTTGCGAGCGCATTTTCGAAGTGATTGCTTCATTTAAACCATTTTGCGGCGCAAATCCTCTTGGAGGGTTTGCTTGCTACAGAAATCTGCAAATTTCCGGTGTACTCCGTAAATCTCTTAATTCCCCAAAACTTCGAGTTCTTCGAATATTGTGTGAACATTGCTAATAGAAACGTAAGAGAGATGAACTACTTTTCAACCGTGCCTGATCGAAATCCCGTTCGGCAGGTCGTATGCTGTATTGCAAGAAAAATACTAGCGATTCTACCCTACTCGCGTCAGTTTCCGAAACCTAGCTGGCGGCCGCAACAGGGTCGATCTCCGATTGATTCTCATCTTATTTTCTACACGGTACTTTTTGAAATAATTATACCCTAAGTAACAGGTGTGAATATATTCACTGTTGACAGATTGAAAGTCAAGTATGCGCGCCTGGTTTCCGAATACAACGAGCTGTTCAGGATCGCAATCGCTCAGAAGGAAATGGACATTGAAGAACTCCGGTAAACCATCTTGTTTGTTTACTACTCTTGAGTTCATCTGAAACGTCTTCCAATTGTATCGTGCACATACTCGTTACCATTGTTTATCTCATCTGATTGTCAATCGCAGACACACACATACTACGTTATAGTTAAATTCATACTAACGTTATTTACATACTAACGGTGGAAAAGACCTATCGGTAGAGTGGTTCCCTGCAACTCACTGCGCGTAATCTGTTTACTGATCTTGGGTATTATTCACACCAATAATTGACCGTACCTAGCTGTGATACCGGAAAGCACTGAGTTTCAATATTGGCCGCTGCTGGTCCTATAAAATTCACCCCGAATACTGCCACACCTACTTGTGCACGAAACGAACCGCTCAGATGCGATCGCACCATTTGTAATCTGACAAAAGCTTGATGACACATGCCTTCAAGTCAGCAGAACTTGCGTTTTCACTGTACTGAAACTAGGTGATAAACTCCTTTCAGATCCTCTTGGTCCCATTTTAGAGGTTACGATGAGGAGTCGTCACATAAAACACTTATTTACCCAAATGTCATTCTCTGGTGTCTTCTACTGTAATCACATGGGTGTTTGGTGATACGACGGTTTGTTCGCTTTGTGAGTGTACCCAGCAGCACATATTGATCGGCCATGTGTTTTGGACCACAATTATCATATCGGCTGCGAACCATGTACAATCTTTGCAGTGGTTATCAAACTTTATTGTCAGATAATGACCTGGAAACCGGGAATCGAAAGTGTCAGCTGATATCACTGGTGGCTGAATGTAGGGGTTGAGGTGCAGGGAGATCGGAATGTGAAGTGCATAGAAGTCAATAGCTTGTGCACCATTGATCCTCCAGCTTGTCTGTAATCATTGTTACCCCGTCTAAAGAGACCTCAGTGAACAGCGCAGCTAAAGTTTACTAGGTCATTGCTTCACCTCTTTGTTGTTCTGTACCCTCTGTATGGTTTGGCGAAGAGAACTGCTCGAGGAAATCGATTCAGTGGCGTACGAAGCACACGAGCAAGCCAAATTCAATATTTCAAGTTGGGTAACACTCCGAAGGTAGTGGTGGCCAGGCACTTAAGAATTTTTTAACCTCAGTGCACAGTCGTCAGGCTTCTGACCCATACAACGATTTAGAGCGCACTACCACACTGAATGGTTACCTAGCAAGAGATGCTATCTGCATACCGAACTAATCGTTCATTATCTGAAGACAAAAACGTTCACCCTTGGCGGATACATTGGTGCATCATAGGCGGTGCTTACTTCGGTTGATATTTTTCTATGTTTGGCAGAATAGATAGATCCACATGATAATATGACATCAGGTTGTCCAAAGTTAAGGTAAAAAAGAATTCGCATAACCCCAACAAAAGTAGCATGCGCACTGAAGTGGATGCTAATTTGTGAACAGACTACGAAGCTATACGGTTTACTTTCTTTTCTCCCACAGCCACGTTGTTCCAGAATTCACATGCCATAGCCTCGGTGAGTGAACTGAGACTGTTTCTTCCGTTTGCTCACAGTAAAACCATGGGGTGTGTCACCCGGTTTACCATTGCTTCTACACAAAGAGCTGAAGTGCGGGGTGTCCTGAACACCCCTAAACAAACCACTTATATACGGGTTAAGTTGTCGTTTATCACTATCGGTCTCAACCACCATTCTGAACCAGAAAAAACTATGGCAATCCTCTGATAGGTCGTCGACCTGCAGCCTCAACCTGCGGAGGTAAGTATGTCAGTAGCAACAAGCCATCGGAAAACTGATCAGTGAAAAAACCACACAAGGTCAGTTTCTCCCGTTTCCAGTCCCGAGTAAACTGTATAAGCACTCGCAACAGCAACGGTCTGCCGTGCAAACTTGCCTAGCTCAAAGCTCAAACTGGTGGACTTTTGTGACGATTCTACTAAAAAGATCCTGGTTAATCGTTGAGTCGCTTCTACGTGATCAATTAGCCCTGAAAATGAAGAGGCTACTGTCATTCAGCTAACTTTTATATCCTCCATGCATGCAACATTCCCATCCGGCAAGGGTGAGAATTCTGCTGACTCGAGCCAAAATCTGTACACAGTGGAGCCAGATGGCTCGGTGGTCAGAGTGCGAATTTACTGACCGGAAGGTCCGTGGTTCGAACCCGACCCCTGGCTTTCGACCTCCCCCGTCTAGGCTTGGGCGACCTGGTAGTATCCCATCCCTCATGCTTCCTTCTGGTGGCATGGTAGTTAGGTACCGAAAGGGTGCCACAGATGAACGACGCACAATCTTCACTTTTAGCCCCTCAAGTGCTAGCTGCACGGATTGTGCTGTTATTCGTCGGAACGCCACAACTAATGGAAAGTTATCGATTCAATGCCGTGCCCGACACCATGGATGGAATAAAAGAAGCATCATATTTTATGACATCGATGTATTAAACATTTTTGCACCCCCCTTAACTAGTATTTTTTGGAAAGGCTCGAGATACTCCCGATCCGAGGTAGTATTGATCACAGCTACACTACTGATGTAAAACCATTTAGCATGAGAATCGGTTTTCCACGTGAATCATACTGTGAGACTGACGAAATCCCGTTGACTACTCACCCTATTCGGATTTCATTTCAATCATTACTATTCAAGAACACAGCAAGTTGAATGTACCTAGTTTGCATAAAAACACTGCGCATTGGCACGAGTGTTCATTGCTTCCAGTGTGTGAATAAGCAAATCTTGACAGAGCATAGCAAGAAGCAAACATAAATCAAAACGTGAATCCACTTAGAAGCAGGCAAATTTCAAAAGTCATAACACGGGTCAGCGTTGATCTACCACGGGAATGATCAACTTCTCAGACGCTACCAAGCACCTCTTGGTCATTTCTAACGCACACAAGTTGCCCACCACTGTCCATAGTAAAAAACATACTACCTGTTTATGTTGGCGCTATGGTGTGGTATAGTTTGGGGTTCGCTGTACGTCTAAAATGCTGCGCTGAATGACTGTTCGTTATTTGGTGGAGTATCTGTTCTCATTCGGTTTCAGTAGGGAAGAGCAGGATTAGGCTCTTCAATCGCTCGATTAGGTGATCGCGTTTCAGGAATTATACACTGCTGAGTTTCGTGAGATGCGCACTGCTGATGATTCCCAATAAAGATGAAACAGCTGTACAGTGCTTCTCGGCTTTTCAGCATAGATTGGCTTCACTTACAGGATGAAATCACCACAAAAATCCCAAATCTCCTCACTACCAACATTATACACTGCTCTTCCAACATACCGTTTAGCTGCTCGGTCGCCTTTGATGGTTCTCACCTCTGTAGCTTCTGAAATCCTTTATTGAGGTCTCGTACACTAGACACTATAAGTCCTGTTTTAGCACCCTAATGCATACAATATGTGAAATAGTGATCAACACGCTGCCTCAAACAAGCTATAGTAAACCTGAACAGTATGACACTGAAGTTGTAAAGCGTTGTTTACGGTTCATTTTCCACCGATGGAATGAATATTGACCAGATTCTAACTGGCGGACCACAGGGAACTACTACGAGAAGTGATAGCTGCGTTGTGAATGGGAAAATTCGACATTAGCCGAAATTTGTGCCACAGGTCGAATGTTTTGCTATCAGACTAAACGTTTCTCGCTTGCTGATCGACCACCAACGGTGTTTTCCCCTTTCTACTTTTAGAGGCGAGTACTGGTTTCCCGAATGTTCGGACCTGGCTGGAAAGCTTAGATCTCAATCATGACGATTTGGAAACGGTAAGTAACTGGAGAGCGTAAATTCTGAATGTTTTTCGGTCGACACCAAGAGATTGTTTTCGCCCTCGTCAGGTTTTGAGTTCGAAAGTTGCTCGAGCATCATCATCCTCTTCGAACTAGAACACTCGATGATTGTGATTCACTTCCATCAGTCGACCAGTGGCAAGCAAGGTATGCAGCCTTGGAAGCCATAAAGCCAATTACGTGCCGGAGAAACCTGACAGTTAGTTCGATTCCAGCATATTGTAGAATTTGCAGTTATAACTTTAGTTTTCAACGTGGAAACGTAGCTATGGGAGGAAACGTCAACTGAACGTTTCCAAATCTCAACACACTACCAACAGACTGAACTTTCGTTTGAACAAGGATATCTCAGGTTACTACCCAATCCTTATCAATAGGGATACAAATAACCAGATGTCAATGGACCTCCTTCCCTATGTATCTAGCTCAAGCAACCTCCCCAAGTGAGGTCACTTCCTCGCGAAGTCCACGACAGCGATCTTTTAACCCTAAAACAAAGTAAATAATCCCCAACCCCCCTCTTGAGCGCCACTGTGAAGTTCATGCTTTAAATAGCCGCTTCCGTTAATCAGTGAATCATGAGGGTGAAATGAGAACTGCGCATGATTCTATGGGGCTTAAATTTCCGGCCTTGGAACAAATTTTGTGGTCGCAGGGAGTTTCGCAACCGTTCACTACTGTTCCGCACTAATCTTCCCATTCCAGTTGGCTTCCAATATAACCGATGAATCCGATTTTCTTGCGATGGGCACGAAGGAAGACCTTTATCGCATGAACTTGCAGTAAGTCAGTCTTGTGGTCTACAACACAACTTGTTGACAATCCCAAACATGTTTCTTTTTCCATGGATTTCACTTTGTTGGCTTTTCGTTTTCTATAGAATGAGACTATTACCCTGTTTCGGCTATCTCTACTAAATTGAGGTCCACAGGGGTGCACTTCATTCAATTACATAGCCCTTTTTGATGTCAGACAATTTTCTCCCGTCTGCACTTTTGCTCCTTGTAATCGGTGCAGGTTATATCTTCAGCTGATTCTGAGCTAAAAGGATCACAGTAAGAAACTACCAAGCGACACTTTTCTACTCGGACAGTCGCTATACAGACAACTCTCAGATTGCAAACAGTGCATCGCTAGGTATAATTCATCACGAAGTGCTACAGTCCTCAATACGCTATCTCGGGGTATAGAGCAGTCGTTGTTGCAGGGTCACTTGCAAGTCGATCAGCTTTCGTTATTCCACTAGCCGCTAGGTTTTGTGTAAAAGCGCTTTCAACCGAAATCGGTCAGTTTTGCACAAGGTGCACTTTCTTTGTAGAGGTGGTTTTCATCGAAGGCATCAACCATAGGTGCGGTCAAATATAACAGGACTGTCTCATTTATTTGGTATGCTTTAATTTAGAGCAGAAAACTAGTTACAACTTATTTCTGACCGTATTTGGTGAGCTGTTGCTAATAATTAGTGTCCTTTTGTCTCTATTTTCCAGCTATTCAACCATATTGCGGGTCTGGCGTGCTGTCGTCAGCATTCGTGATACAGCCAGGACCTTGGAACAATCCACCGCATAGAACACCACGACAATTTGGGATGCACGGTTCCCGGTTTTCATCTTGACCGATAGGCTGTTTTCTCACATTTTTCTATAGTGATCATTTTTTTATTCCGCGCCACGTTCCTTTTTATCACTTATTACCAGAATGCGCCACTATCCTTCGTCACTTCACCCACTCAAGCTCTTTCATGACCATGTGATCGTTCGGTGGATCGACCGTCCTCGATCTAGGAACCAGTGATTCTTTTTCCGCCAGTAACTTTGCAATTGTGATTTAACGGCATTGTAGTTCAGTCATTTACACCCCAAACCTAATATTGCAACTGTATTTTAGAATTGATTGGTAGTTTATCTCTGACAATAACTTTTCCCCCAACTGTTTATAGTGTGTTTACTCTTTTACGATGGGGGGACGTGAGGGCGCATAGGGATTAGTTGTGGACTATTGCTTCTTGGGCGCTCGAGATAGCTCAATGATTAAAGCGCGAACCCACTGATAGGAAGGTCTATGGTTCAAACCCACCCCCTGGGTTTTGGGTAATTTAACAGTACCTCAATCCTTGTGCTCGGTTCGGGTGGCATGGCAACTAAGCGTCGAATGATTACTGTTATTATTGCTTCCTGAACGCTGTCTACGCAAACGTGACATGCAAATTATCCCTAAGGAGATATTCATGCGTTTTCGTCAAACCAGCGATACAGGACATCGCTAACACACGCATGTCAAGTTACAAAGTGACTGACATCTACAATGCTATAAGAGCTGAGAAGTGTCCCTCGGTTTTTCACACGGATTGGACTTAATGTTACAGAGGAAACTAAAATTACCTCAACACTTATGAATGTATGCCAATGAATTAGGTGTTGTTATACGACACGCAATCGGTTTTACTCACACTTTCCAAAAATCCGATAAGGTTGCCAGGTGGCTGGCGCCCCATACACTGGTTGGAGCAACTGCTACTTAATTTGCACCGCCCAACAACCGGGATCCCTTGTACTTTGGTTCTCGACAAAGAAGGCATCATTTATGAAGGCCGAGCTAACTGGGAGCTATCCGTGTGGTAGTTGCAATGTTTCTTGTGTCAGCTTGACCAATGGTTGCAGTTCTGATTAACGAAGCACTATGACCCTCAAGGATCGGGGATGGGATGTGTGCGCGAACCTGTTTTGTAAATATTGTAATAACCTGACAGGGGAGCTGCCACCGGGTTAGTCTGGGTACTGATAAGAGAACACGCCGGCCGATATCTGACGATACAGCCTGAACTTGCAGAAAAAATTGCGGGCGCCTTCCCATAACATCCACCTCGAACGATTTCCAGAAATGGGCTATTTGTACCACATGAATGGAATTAGACAGTGCAATCTTGGAAAACACGTGATGAATGGCTCAGTACATTTCAATACAAACCAATGAGAAATTCAAGAAAAATAGGACAAGGATTGAGAACCTATTAGCACTTTGTAACTAGTACAACCTTCTGAGTCATTTGGGTTTGATTAAACCAAGCATCATATCCATAGAGTTGCCATCCGGATGGAGGGAGAATTGTTCGCCTGTTTCGTTATCACGAACCAGCAGGTAGCCAAATGCGTCCAATCCGGTTATGGTACACTGACGACCAAAAGTTGGGGATCCGTTCTTGTTTGAACAAACTTTTACCGTTTGGTTGCTGTGAAAAAGCGAATGAAGCAAAAAAGTGTTATTTTCGTATATAGGTTTGACCTTTATTGGATCTGTCGGATTCAGAAAGTCGCATAGAGCAAGCCACAACACTTTGCTGTCTATTTATTTCATTTATTTATATTGCTAGGTTTGGAAAGACTGGATGTTGATTTTTAATAACTTTTCACTTGTGTTAAATCGAATACTGGCGTCAACCTGGTCTCGGGCGATGTGCTTGGGCCTGGGCTTAGTAACATGCACCTTCACGCATATGATTCACAAGCACTGGATCGCAAATTGGGCGATGGAACATAGCAAGCATGTGATTAATCACGTGCTCAGTAGCCAGGGAACCAGTAAGCTTATTATATGCGCGGGGGGGCTAAATCAAGGGCCATTCGTATGACTTCTTGGAGGATCTTACCGACAGGATGGGAAAATTGAGCTTTAATATGGAGGACCCGTCCATGTACGTTTCAGACAGAAACCGATCATACAGAATGTCCATTAGGGCCGCCTGTACATTCGCTAGCGGATTCTAAATGACAGTATCCGGTGTTACACTAGCGTTACCGTGGTCCCCGAAATTATTCTATTAACAAACCGATTCTGACAAATACCTCGTAGACCATCAGCAGATGGAATGAGTCTCTTTCTGACCGAGTACACACGACACCATTAACTGACCCTAAAACGCAGTGACTAGGATCTTGTCGACCGAAGTTGGATGCCCATCGATTCTTTTCAGAGCCTTCTAAATAGAGGAAGCATGAAAAATTCATTCCAGTTACTCAACAGAGACTCACGTGTGCATCCAACAGCGAGTGTATAATTCGAAAGCCCAACTAAGTCCATAAGTGTGCAAAGTGCGACTGACGAGACGCTCCAGACGACTAAGAATGGTAGCGATCACTTCCGCAGTAGATACGACGCTGGCCTGTTTAGGACAAACTCGATCCAGTAGGTCTTGCAAGCAAATGGTAGGCATGTGATTCGAAACGTTTAATCCAATACCTGTGAAAATTTCAACATGGTTCATCAGTGAGAGTGGATAGGGGAAGCGACAGAGTGTAGGAGATACATAAACACCCACTGCAGCGGGAGTGGTTACGGTAGTAGCTTACCAATAATGAAATTGGCCTCTTTATCTCCAACAAGTGAACATCTTGTGAGCATGCCCGCAAGCTTCCCAGAACGTGGACAGTTTGGAGATGAGGAGGCTACGTCACCACATTGCTTATTTTCATTCCAAACAACATAGACATCATTGGGCCATTTCAAGCGGAGCTGTGGACCAGAGTGTTGTAAGTTCTGCCCGAAATAGGAAATAGGAAAGAAAAATCGGATGAAAGTTCAGGTCGAACAAAACAGCGTTGGGGAAGTCACGGTGAGTCAATACAACAATCAGGCAGCCACTCATCACCTGATTTATGGTGTCTCCTCGGTGCATAGCTGGTATGCGACCCACAACAAACTCGAGGGAAGATGCCGTTAGCTTCTGCTCGTGTAGGTAATAGCAGACAAGCGAGTCTTCGTGACTGTCACTTTCTACAAAACAAAGAGTGTGACGGCTTGAGTTTTTAACCAATGGATCCGATAACCTTGACTAACAGGTTTCAATTGACATACGAGGCTCCTGCGCGTTTTCAGCCAGTCGCATAAAATGCTGTTTGCACATGCCACTGAAGAGGGTGATTACACAGCCCATACCTACTAGCTTATTCCATATTGTGTTTATTTTCGCATTCGATTTAAGACCATTTTCGGAGGAAAACCTGCGAGCAAATAGTGACTGAATGCCTTTTAACACATTAGCGACGGATACAATCAGTATTATTGGGCCACACCGATAAACTGTGCCCAGATTTGGTAGAAAATCAAAACTACCGGAATTTGCAGACAAAACTATATGGACGGAAGGATCCACTGTATGTCGTGTGCTTACCACCAATAATTCCTCGTCCACTTCGAATGCGCATTGGTGTCCATTCAGTGCACCAAGCCGCTCAGCAATCAGCTGTTTACAGGCGAGGAGGATACTCAATGCAACCAAGTGCTGCATTCCGGTAACATAATTGGCAAAAGTGACTGCCGATCGTTGTGAAACGTAGGTTGGTGGGTTCAGTGTCAGGCTAAGTGTGAATGCAGCCTGACCGGAAGGAGTGACCCAACGATTATCACCTCGACCTGCACGAGTAAGTAAGTGATATTATGAGTGGATCTTAGGAGGAACGTAAATCCAATTCGCAAAGTCATACTTTCAGTCGCAGCATCAATTTCAAAACAGACACGAAACCATGTTGAAAAAATAAACACAAATAGAACAAATCAGGAAAGAAGTTGGGGAGGAAGAGTGACAGTGAGCATCTGGGCTTGATACCACCGGATGTGGTGAACTTTGGAGGGAACTGGTCCCAGACAGGTCCACGAGAGTAGGCACATAGAGCCCTTATAAGTGACAAGAATTTGGAAGAAGCATCTTCAATGTCAGACACTGCAATGAATTCTGACGAACAGCGGAGTCAAGAGCAGATCTTATATCGAGAGAAACGATCACTGTTGGTCGTCGGAAGGAGTGGCAGATTTTCAGCGCCTGTCGCGAGGTGAAGGCATGATAGACGCGAACCTAGCTAGGGTTTGATTCTCAGGAATCTCACCCTCTCGATGACGGATCAATCTCCACAGGATGACAACAAAGAGCACCTAGAAGGCTATAATCATTAAATCGATGTTCCCGCTCCATTCCGTGGGTATTCTTTCTTCATTACAGATATGTTGGAACAAAGTCGTCAGATTAGCCACGAGGGAGTCGCAACCTTCTTCGAGGAGCACAGATGAAACCGTCTGGAGCGGGTGCTTTGTTGTGGCGAAACAATGAAATATTAGGCTGGACTTACGTCGTCCGTGGGATAGTGGTGTCGACGTTCCATTCAGTCTTATGTGGTCCTTCCAGGAGTTGAGTTGATAAAAGACAACTAAACTTTCCTTTAGTGTTCAGCCCGTAGTTCAAGACCACCTTTCTGTCAAATCATTGAGGTCTTATCCTTTGTTATAAACCGTTTCACTAACACCCACCCTGGGACAATTCAACCCAACTAGGAATAAAATTTGGTCGTTTACGGGCTCGGGAAATCTTCCACTTCCCCAGCTTTCGCAGTCCATCAAGACTCCCTGTCAATCCTTGGGCCGTTCACTGTCAGCGTTTAAATAACCCGCATGCGATATCATGGTCACTTGTTGCTGGTAGAGTTCTCGTGGTATTAATGAGAGCCGCTGGTCGTGGTGAGAACCAGTGTCCGTTGAAATGTGAAACCAACAGACGGTTTTGAAAGCCACTAGCAGAAAAACTTCGGTCACTTCATAACAATCGTCATTATTACCATCAAAAGGCGTACAACTGCAGTTGAGAAGTCATCGTTTTAGAAAGGACCGGTAATAATCGGTCGTTCTTAACTACGGGACATCCCAATCTTGACACAAAAACTTCATCACGCCAAGTGTGAGGTCACCAAGTTGGCCAGATTTTGAGAGGAATGGAGAACCAATCAATAAGACCTCTTCCGACTAGCGTTCAATGCCAGTTAAACGGTCTTGTCGGTCCGTGTGATTATCTAAATCTTACGGTTGATGGGTTGAGGGATTTCAAATCATTTGCAATCGAGTTTAGTTCCCTAATCTACCAGATCAACGTGCTTTAATTGGTGATTGGCCTTGGGTTTTACTGGTAAATTGAGTTGACTTGTGTGGGCTTCTAACTACTAGAACAATTGAGTAGGGGATGAGCCGTTTCGAAGAAACTGGACCTTACCGTAGTGTGAAGCTTTGTGTATCCCCGCGACCCATTGAGCTATACTAGGGATATCTGCACGACAGTCGCAGTCTCCCATACTAGGCTGTTCATTGGTTAGAAGCCTGACCGGCACAGCCTCCTGGTCCTCCTGATTGGGGGTTAGAACATGTATAGTGACTTGTTTCCTGGCCGTCACCATGGCAACGCCGAGCTGGTGATTGTGTTATGACCGGCATACTCTCATCTCTAAGGTGAAGCCAGTGAATGGCGTACCTCTTCGTCTTGCGATAGTAGACAACGCAAATGCTGTGGACAAATTAGATGGTCTCGCCCAACGGCCAAGTCATTCCTCAAACATACGATCGACTTTACTATTCGGTGTTTATGTGATAACCGTCACCACGTCGGTTCAACCAAGATCTCTTAATCGTGCTCTCTTCCGCAGATCTACAGCTACTCAAAACTAAAGCGACAGAAGTGAAAGCCATCCGAGGACGACACTGTAATGAGGGACATATACTTAAGTACGAGAAGTTACTTCCCAAGAATCAACTTTCTAGTGAGTTCATAACGAAGCGTGAACAGTCTACTGGCCGTCATAGCGTGGTAAAGATATCAAATAAGCCGTTAGATGAGCAACAACCTTGGGTGTTGGAGAAGGGTTTGAATTTCGTAGCAAGTAAAAAGGTGATAAGGGCGGAACAAATAATCCATTGCATTGAACCTCTGTTCAAAAAAATAATGCAATGGTGGCGGAGAAGCCACAAGTACAGCTGGTCACAGCCCTTAGTTCCAAGTAACCAGGAGCTCCAGGAGAGCGCAGAGCCTTAAACGCCCTTAAATGGGTGGACAACAAAGTTACCACAAAGGCGAATAAGGGTGAAGCCACCGTTGTCATCACCAAGTGATTATCTGCAGAACACCTAGTTTAATACCTAGCTTATGGTTATTAAAGGCCGATTGATAGTCGGGACATTGTCTATAAGGAATGAGAGTCAAGTCGAAGTTGGCAGGTATTTGCGTTCTCACCACTTGATACAAGGTAATTTGTATCGATTGCACCCCAAAAGTGCAATCCAACGGACTGCCAAAAATCTATAGATCAGATGCCTCAGTGAGACCAATAGTAGACACAATAGGTTCCCCACCTCATGAGCTGGTCACAGTCTTGAATCACTCATCGGAAAATCTAGTACTTATATATGGAATTCATGACTTTTTGAACAAAGTAGCGGGGTTAATCGCGCAACCAGATAACATTCTTGTAAGTTTCGATGACAGCTCATTATTTACGAATGTGCCCGACCTAAAGCTGTCACCTGGTCGTGGTGGCGGGCTTGGGTGCTGTAATGGTCTCGTGGGCTATGCTGGCTAAAAATTCGTTCCACAAGGCGCAACCATGCCAGGAAGGCCAAACGATAACAGTCAGACCAAGAGCAGCGAGATATCGTACTACGAGTAAACGTGCTACGAGACGTTCTAGAGGAAAAGTCGTACTGTCCTCAGCGCTAGGAGTGGGAAGGCAGTAAGGCGGCGGGCATGTCTATATTGATGGAAACAATAACGTTGCCTTCTCCCGAGAAAGGATAGGTTAGAAAAAGTCGGCCCTAAAAACCGCCCGCACCGAGCGCACAACAGTTGACCGTGACCACCAGTGCATTATTCACTATGGTCGGAATACTTCTAAAATCGAGGAGTCCGGTGCTGCTCCAAAGGCATGTGCTGCACGTAGTCGCATCAGGGGTAGACAGTAATGCCTTACTCCCTGCATCATCGGTTTAGGCCACCCCCCTCAGCCGAGCAGGTCAGACTGTTGAGTCATCGGATCCGGTAAGAGTCTCCAAAGAAAACCCTACCGTCCGCTACCTCGTGCGTCAGACTTTTGAGTTAGAGGCTAGAGGCACAGTCCCCGAACAAAACCCTACATTCTCCCACCGCATTGTGTATCAGACTTCTAAGTCAAAGGCTCAAGGTGGGGTACCTCAACCAAACCCCCCTCCTCGGCCTGGGCAACCTGGAAGTATCATTTGCCCGCGCATTTCAGCGTCCACCGATGTCCCTCCCCAACCTCTTCCCAACACACAAGCAAACGTCGCTGAGCCATTTGATTGTCAGTTATCTGACCGAAGGGCCTTATGCTCTTCGCTGCCTACTAACAATACACAAAATAACAAACATCCTTCTAAATCCACGAGATCCTTTCCATATAATAGCTCTTAACGTCCGTACTCTATGTCAAATTGGCAAACAGACGATACTTGCTGAAAACATACTCCCTTAAAATTGATGTATGCAGTGTCTCCGAAACAGCCGCGCACAACAGTTGACCGTGACCACCAGTGCATTATTCACTATGGTCGGAATACTTCTAAAATCGAGGAGTCCGGTGCTGCTCCAAAGGCATGTGCTGCACGTAGTCGCATCAGGGGTAGACAGTAATGCCTTACTCTCTGCATCCTCGGTTTAGGCCAACCCCCTCAGCCGAGCAGGTCAGACTGTTGAGTCATCGGATCCGGTAAGAGTCTCCAAAGAAAACCCTACCGTCCGCTACCTCGTGCGTCAGACTTTTGAGTTAGAGGCTAGAGGCACAGTCCCCGAACAAAACCCTACATTCTCCCACCGCATTGTGTATCAGACTTCTAAGTCAAAGGCTCAAGGTGGGGTACCTCAACCAAACCCCCCTCCTCGGCCTGGGCAACCTGGAAGTATCATTTGCCCGCGCATTTCAGCGTCCACCGATGTCCCTCCCCAACCTCTTCCCAACACACAAGCAAACGTCGCTGAGCCATTTGATTGTCAGTTATCTGACCGAAGGGCCTTATGCTCTTCGCTGCCTACTAACAATACACAAAATAACAAACATCCTTCTAAATCCACGAGATCCTTTCCATATAATAGCTCTTAACGTCCGTACTCTATGTCAAATTGGCAAACAGACGATACTTGCTGAAAACATACTCCCTTAAAATTGATGTATGCAGTGTCTCCGAAACAGCCTACAAGACCCGAGCGTAGTTATGCATCTCAGAACGCCAAGGATGAATTCAGCTCTTCCACATTTCTTCCTCCGCGTGTCCGGTCACCCAGAAGCAATGACCCCTGGAGGCGTGGGAGTTGCACTCAGCCCCAGAGCTGAACGTGCCTTGCTGGATTGGATCCCAGTAAACAGTCGTCTTTGCGTCGTCCGGTTATTCAGCTCAATCAAGCCCAACGCCCCTCGCCATAAAAAGCGGTGCCTGTTTGTAGTGCCGACTTATGCCCCAACGGATTGCAGTTCTGATGCTGGGAAGGATGCCTTCTATCGATAGTTATCTCAGGTCATTCGTCAAACAAGAAGCACTGAAATTGCGATCCTTGTTGGTGATATGAATGCTCAATTCGGTCGTCTGAGCTCCTTGGAGTCAGATTTGAGCGGTCGATTCAGAGTCAATGCACGTCGCATGAACAACGAAGAGTGACTTCTCCAGTTGTCCTGATCATAAACTGTTGCCAGCCGGCACGAGCGACACCAGTGAAGAGCTGCAATTCAAGACTGCCATTCCTTCTGGGACACACAAATTGATTACGATCGCACCATGGTGCGCGCACGCTTTGCAGTTCGTTTCCCTTCAAGCCCTCGCAAGTTAGCAAGAAGCATGCCAATATATCATCTTCGAAGGACTACCATAGCTCAACAGTGTCCATCTGAACTAGTTCAACAACTCTCCACAGTGAACGAATATTGTGGTAGCAGCGAGCATGTGGATGAAGCGTGGTAAAATGTGAAAGAAGCTATGTTACTGGCGTTCACTTTTGTCTGTCCGACTTCTTCAATTCGACCACAAGACTACTGGATGTCGTCGAGGTCACCATCCATGATTGATGCAGGGAATCCATACCAGCAGGCAACGAGTACGACGGCGCACGCCAATCCCTAAAACATCGAATAGTGAAGCGATCTGGTGGACATCAAAAGCTCGGAAGATCGAGAATGGTTTTGCTAACGGAAACAGCCGCGCCATATATCAACTGATACAATCAACCGATTTTAGAAAAGGAACGGTCAGTGAAACGATAAGTGAAAGAGGCGGCTCGTTAATTCACTCGCAACAAAATCGACTGGAAAGATGGGCCGAACACTTCGAAGCACAGTTTAGCTGGCCTCCTGCGACCTAGCCTGTAGAGGAAAGTTCATATGGGCGGATGGAGTGTGAACCTTAATCACCCGTCAGAAGAGGAAATAAAGTACTAAACATAGGTACTGAAATGTGGGAAGGCACCAGGACCGGACGTTTTGTATCCAGCTCGCTTCAAGGAAGGCGGAGAAGCACTGGTGACCCATCAAACAAAACTCATTCGTGAGATATGGAGCGAAGAGAAAGTGTCTGCAGAGTGGGGCATGTCGGCAGTTACCCCTATCTTCAAAAAGGGCTTTCGGACACTGTGTGAAAACCACTGTGACATCATCCTGGTAGCTGTGGGTCTCTGGTCTTATCCTTAGAAGGTTGACTGAAAACGGAGACAAATCCGTGAGGACCAAACTAGGTTCCGTCGTGCAAGAGGATACATCGATCACATTTTCACTCTCCGACAGATTCTGGAACAGCGACACTGCATCCAGCAACCTGCAATGGGTGTGTTCCTTGACTTGAAAGCTGACTCTGTGGACCGCCAGGCACATCAAAAGTTAGAGACATTGTGGACACGGCATAGCCGTGCCCTCAATGTCGCTCTTGAGTCCAGGCTATTGCCTTCAATGCATTGCTCCCTTCCCAATGTCACCCTTAAAAGTCCACTGACTATGTATATACGCATCGATTATATCAGCTTCCGCCTCCAATGCGCAGCTTTTTACCACAACTCCCGAAATCATCGGCGAACGAAACTGTGGCAGCAACAACCACAGTACAAGTAAGCAGTTCTTACAGTTGATAATGATAATGATGATGTGCTAAAAGGGGACCCTTTAGGAATAGTCAAGCGGTCGCTACTAGCAAACACATCCCTTTCGGAACGGACACAGCTTATGGCAAGTGAAATGGTGGAAGGCATAAAAGCATACTGGAATCACACTCACCTCGTTTTCGATTCCGTAGTTTACACTCAAGAACAACGTTTAGCAATGGGATTTCAACATCCCAGGTCTTGGCAAATATCTTAGGAAAGATTTCGAACGCAAGGCTTTAGCCGGATTCCCATTCCTACCTGAAAAATTTTGGCATTATATAGATGACACTTTCGCTGTGAAAAATCAAGACAAGGTCAATGAGTTTTACATCTGAATGGCTTAAATCCATACATCAAACTTAGTATGGAGATTTAATCAACTTCGGATACACTACGCTTCTTAGACTGCATGACACATAAAGTTGAGGAAAACCAAAAAACATAGTTTATCCAAAGCTAACTAGTATTGGGGCTATTTTAAATTGCTTGTCTACCTATCCGAAGTCGGTGTTTGCTAGTATTGCCCCATCAATGCTCAGCTGAATAAGTGCCCTGTGCACAGAAAAAGCTGATCGGGCCCAACTTGAAGTAAAAAAAATCGGGGTAGTGGATATCCGGCTTCTTTGATTGAGCCTCAGCTACGAAGTGTGCTGACCCTTGTGGCGAAACCCAACGGGAAAGGATTGGGACTGCTGTCATTCCATATAAATCAGTGACATCCGAAGGCATTCGAAGAATTCTAAACGCGACTAACATAAGAGTTGCGTTCCAGAAGGGAAAAATTCTGTGCTCTGCACTGATATAGTTGAAGAAGCATATCCCGGCAAACAGAACCAGGGACTGCGCCTATTAAACTGAATGCAACGACTGCACTAAGGTCCGTATAGGACAAAAGGCCCGTGAACTTTACACCAGAATCGGCGAGCACAAAGGAAAAATTCACAGGCCACCGAGAGATGCAGATGAATATCGAGCACTACTGGAAGAAAGCAACGGTAGGACATGCACTAGGCACGAGACACAAAATAGATTTAGAGAATATTGAAGTTCTGAGGAGGTTACAACGGTTCACGCCACAGAGACTGATGGCCGAGGTTGTGGAAATCGCCAAACATCCCAGTGGGAATAGAAGGCGTAGAACTGGCAAGTGTGTGGAGAACGGTTTCAGATCAGTCGAGCTGACATGTGATGATGTGCGGTTATCAGCGAACAGGAGTTATCAACAGAAGTAGGTAAGACCCCAAGTGCACGAACCAAACCGACCAACAGTTCCATCTAATCTCAACCCCGCTCCTCTCCCCACCCCCCAACTAAATTGTCGTAGCACTTACAGACCCAAACAGACCAACAAAATATAACAGTGACACCCTAGATAAATCACCGAGTGAGGCACCGTGAGCTTAAATCCGATAAAAAAAATTACCTGAAATTCCCAAAACCCATCGACCGTAAGATTTAGGCAACCACGCTGACCGGCAAGACCCTCTAACTGACATTCAACACTGATCTAGTGTGCAAACCGGAAGAGCTCTTACTGAATGGCTCTCAATTTACCTTAAAAGCTGGCCAGCTTGGTGACATGCTCACTTGGCCTGATAAAGCGTCCGTGTCAAGAGTGAAACGTTGTTCAGTTAAAAAGCGTTTCTGAAATGATGAGCTTATGTGAGAAAACAAATCTAAGTTAACCACTACGGACGGCAAGAATGCTTACCATGTCCCTGAGTTTGACGGTTAGATACGACAACTAAGCCGGAATGAGGAGGAATTTTCCCCAGTACGCTGCGTTGAGACAGGGAAGGGATAAGTAGACCAACAATAGTAATATTAACAACTAGGAATAATAATAATAATAGTAATAATAGAGCTTGAAGAACACTAAAAACGATACTGGATATCGAATACTGTGCACCGGCGTGTTTTTCATAGGCTACAGGGACTCAAAGTGCATTTTCTCCTATGTGGGAGTGTCGCCAATCATATAATGATACCAATGGATTCTACCAATTGTGCTCCGGAAGATTGGTATGGTTTGACCAGATGGATATTCCAGTAAACCTGGAGCAACCGTGACGATCCTTCCGGTATCTCTACCCTGAGAGACACCCTAAACCCAAGGGGAGTAATTCAATTCCCAATTTATAACGATCATCCACAAATCTATGCCGACAACGCCTACAAATGATTCATTAACAACAAAATCCCGTTCGGTAGTGAAGTGTCACGCGCTGTGATTACAACCATCCAACGCATATGGAACCAGCAACATCCGAATTACATCAGCCTAAGAAAAATTAGGGACGGTCGGGCAAAAGGACCTTGAGAACGAAGACCAATGTAAAGTGCACCCCGAATATAACTGATGCTCATATAATGCGCTCTCTACACCTTGGACAGTCAGCCCCTAATCCGACAAGCCTAGGCAACGCCGAATAAATAACCGTACAACGATTCTCAGTCTTTCAGTATAGATTAGCCCCAGTTGCAGGACGAAATCCCTATTGTAAACCAATCACACGTCGAATTCTTCACTTTAGGGTGGCACCAGCTAAAACGCGACGAAAGGTTTCTATAACAAGCGAAACACGAAACTCGTGTGTAGACTTCCATGCCTGTCGTTGAACAAGATTACGCTTTATGGACATTGACTCTGTACAATCTGAGAGAACGCGATGGGCTGATCCTGAGCCATCCACTACTGACGAACTTTAACCAGTCCGTCAACTACAACCCGTCCTCAAATGCTGAAATTACACGATAAGAACTGAGGCTCCAACATGAACAAAATCCCAGAAACTGCAAATACGAGTCTTCCAGTCATTTACGGCATTTGTGGAAACCCGCTGAAGTCATTGCCACTCATTCGTGATCATTTTTGAAACGATTCGATATGACCACCTAGCATCGAAATCTCAGCTGACCAGCTCTCACCAGACGACCCATCATCTTCTCCAGCTGTAAAAACTGCGTACTTGTTGTACAGTGGTCACAGTTGCCACACTCGTTCACCAAGGATTTGTGTAGGTGGGGTAATTAGCTATGCATTGGAGGCGGTAGCTAATACAAATGACGCCTCATTGTGTCAGTGGACATTTAACTGGAGAGATCGGGAAGAGGAGCCATGCATTCAAGGCAATAGCGCCACTGAACAGCTGAGCCGAATCCGATAATGTCGCTAACCACTGATGTGTCGCGTCTCGGGGTCCCCGTCCAGCGGGAGATGATACGACCAGCGCAGCTGAGTCTGCACGCAATCGCTTTCATACTTCGCTGTCAGGTCACTATTTGACCTCTCCTGGCAATCTGTAGAGTGTGTCCAGCTCATCTATCGTGGGCAAGTTATTTTTTCCAAAACCCACTCAACCCACGTAAGGATTACTGATCCGATGCAGTCACCAAACTCTGATAATTCCATGAAGACATCGACGGTCCACAGAGAGCACAGGCCAGGTTTCTGACCCGAATAACAATATGGAGCGCATCACACGTTCGCTCGCAACATGGCATGATTGGAGTCAAGTTGAGTGCCCCAAAATGAACAGCAGTCTTCAACTGTGGCTCTCCACCGGTCGCCGACAACCACGTGATCCAGTTGTGTCCACAGTTGGTTCGCACGATACGGACGTTTATGCTGAAAGTTCATACTAGTCAGAAACAGTTGATGATCAGCACACAACTGGAAGTTACGCTTCCCGTTGTCTGTGAGACGAGCATCGATCTGAATCGACCACTCAAATGAGATCCCAAAAAGATCAGACAACCCACTTGAGCATTTATATCACCTACAAGGATCACAATGTCAGTGCTTCTTACTTGACGAATGAGCCCGGATAACTCTCAGCGTCGATGGGCCTATGCTGACAATAAAACCAGGCTCCGTTTTTTATGTCGAGTGGCATTGAGGTTGGATGAGCTGGAAGGCCGAGCTGCGCAAAGACGACTATTCATAGGAATTCAATCCAGAAAAACGCGTTCAGCTCTGGGGCTGAGTGTACCCACTAACATACTTTCCACAAATCATCGCTTCTGAATCATTGGCACACGGGGAGTGAAAAGTAAGAGAGCTGACTTCGTCCTTGGTGTTTTAAAATGCAAAACCACGCTTGCTTCTTGTATGCGTGTTTCAGGGACACAGTAAACATCAATTTTAAAGGAGTTTAAGGTCTCGTCTAGCATTACCTCGTTGCCTTCTTGACATAGAGTATGGATGTGGGAGCTCCTATGCAGAAAGAATCTCGTGGATCCGACAGTTTTATTTTATTTATCGTTAATAGGCAGTGGGACGTATTAGGCACATCTGCCAGATAACTGACAATCAAATGACTCAGCAACGTTTGATTATGTGGTGGGAAGGGGCTGGGCAGGGACACCGGTGGACAAAGGAAAGTCCAGGTAATAATACTTCCCGGTCGCCCAGGCCGAGGAACGGGATTTGGTTCAAGTACCGCACTCGGAGACTTTGACTCTAAAATCTTGCCCACAAGGCAGTGGGAGCATGTAGGCCATATATATAGCCTGAAACAAAAGTCTGAACCTCGAGGCAGCGATTGTTGGAGTTTCTTGAGGAACCTTTCCAGAAGCCAATAAGTCAATAGTTTGGCCCACTTGGCAGAAGGCTGGCCGGAATATTTTGACGGTAATCCTGTGTCGAGGAAGCCAAGCATGCGTAACCCAGCGCAACACATTGTCTAATTCCCCAAATGGGTGATCTACCCTGCAAGGAAACAAATTACGGGCATACTCTAGGCCCTTGACCACTGTTCGCACACTATTTCGTTAAATCATCCAAGTCGTCCCGATTAGGGTCAAATTAGTTTGACCGATAATTTAACCTCAGAACGCAAACAGCTCCTATCGTTGGGAGGCTTCCCAGTTGATAAACGGATTGGAGTTAATTTAGTAACTCCGAAGCATAATATGAAACAACGCAGCACTACATATGAATAAGTATAGGGATTTCAATCACTTTTATTGTCGTTGCTATCACTCAAGCATATATCTTCGTGATTAAGTGCCTTGTTTCGTGGTTTTTAGTTGAGTTCAGGCGGGCAATACAACAACAAACAGTACAAGAAGCCGACCGCATTATACAGGCTCTCCTTGTTGGGCTATTACGTCTGAGTATCTATGGGATTGCAAGTGTCGAACATTTTGAGGGTTCAGATCAGGTGAAGTGAAAGGCTGCATAACTAACAGCTACTTAAAATATCTGGGTGCAACTGAAATTTCATTGTGACAGTTCAGAAAACATGCGATATCCACTCAAGAGGAAACGACTTGCTGGGGCAACTTTTTGAAGACCCTCGAAGGGGAAAGCAATATAACTGAATCAAAAATAAAAACTCCATACAGTAGAACACGAAACAACAAGGTGGTGCATGTATACGGGGTAACGAAAATGGAATAAAAGCGGGAAGCATACCATAGATAGAAACCTCCAAAGACATAAATGGAGGATGTACCTTTCACATAACACCCAACTCGAACCCAAGGACTCAGACCATATTAGGCTCTTCCCCAGGGTGTTTGTGTTCAGATTTTTCCGGTAACCTAACCAGTCGAACTCCGGGGGTAGGCTGCTCAGAGTGGAACAATCGCGTAGTTCGGCATGCGTAAAATCACCGAGACCGGCCAAGGTGGATGGCTCAGAGAAGATATTTAGGGTTTTCTGGAACAAAAACACAAGTGAAATTCTGGCAAAAAATCCAAAGATGAGTTCAAATTACTTGCTAGCACGAATCCGCTTCAAACACACCATGTTATTCCTCGTACTAGCTAAAAACACAGGAACAGTTCATCAGAAACTAAAGTAAGTTCTCTGTTCCGCAAAGCCACTCTAATGAGCACACAATATAGTCGAATCCTCAATCAGAGCGGAGCGGAAATCACGTTCACCAGGCGACCAGTAACAAACAATGCGTACAGACAGAGAAAAATGGCCTGCCCTGTTTAACCCGTGTGGGTGTCTAATGTAGGATGTAAATCAGCCGTTAATTCAACCACATATATTCAGCAAAGCGGGTTATGCTTTGACTGGATGTGCTGGGTGTGCATTACTATCGTTCTAACAGAAAATGTGACCCAGACATCGGAAGCAGGCGCTTGTCCGTGAGCGGGATAAAAAGTGACTCATAGTTGGGGCCAATTCTAAGGATCGGGAGCAGATCACCATGCAGCGGGTAACATACAGTGAGAAGTCCTCCGAGTTAGCAAGCATAATCCATTTAAAACATGGAAATATCCATCAGTCGACGCTTGTTCACATACCCAGAAATAGTTCCGGGAGCTACTGCCACCGACTAAAGAAGATCATCGCATGTGGTTGGGACAACTTACATACCCTGTTTTACCACGAGGAGGTCGTACATTATATTGTCGGGTTGCTTCAATTCGAATCCATTCGTATAGAACGGAAAGAAAAGGATAGTTCTGAAAGGGCTTTAAACAGAAGCTTAGGGTCAAAGACCACCTAGGTGTCGACCAATCGAAACATGAACTAACTAGCCAACCGACAGGATTAATCATTTAAACAACCAATCATAAACGGTCACCCGCCCTCAGACCAAGACAACCTATACATACACAATCACATCGCTGAACACCTATATACAGAGAAAGGAGAAGCCATGACGCATCGCTATGCACCTACACAATGATGATGCAACAGTCTGGTGAACAATTCAACCACCAGGACTATTTTAATTTGTTCTGAGGCATCCGCTCTGATTCCCAGCTCGACTAAAGTATACTCGTAAACTAGAAATCATGTCACCAGGTCAAGTACTCACCTACAACGGGTAGTATCGACTGAGCATATTAATAAACGACGACAAAATTAGTTGAAGGACCCTTCTGTGAAAGAAGCATTATACCGAAACAAGTTCTTCGTCCCGCTGTATACAGTATTTTGTTTCTCATTAAAAAAACACCACTAGCTATGAAACAACGAAGACTGCTTTTGCACTCTAACTATGGGGGCACGTACTTCTGCTCGAGTATTGTGGGAACCCATGATCATTGAATACAGGGTTACATTGTTGGATGGTTTCTCATGGAAGTGGTTGATAAGTGAACGACATGGTATGTGTAGCAATTCCAGTCCCTGCCGTAGTGAATCCAGACGACTGTCAAGTGGATTTATCTGAATAAAAAGAGAATCAACGACTAGGGATGGAAAAAGGAAGAGTTACAATAAAATGTGGACCAAAACGACATCCATGTGGATCATTCATGCCAGACCCACTCCTTGTAACATACATAACATGGATGTATCTTAAGGCCAATATCTATGTATTTTAGTTTCTTCAATCAAAGAGAATAATAGCATCATCATCATCATCGACAGCATGGCATCAGTCTCCAACACCGATGCTTCACTGCCGTAAAATCATGATTTATTCGACAACCTTATGGTAAAGAAAAGAATAAAGGTAGATGGGGTAGGGACTTAGTGCTGGCTTACTACGATCATTCCAATGTGCCTACACCTCCAAACACTCATTCAGACAATCTGGATAGAAACTGACAACAAGATCTCCACTGACATCGGTTGGCAGCCATATCTTGTGGTGTCTCCAACCAGGCACAATGAGGATCACGCGGTCCCCATCCTGGAAGGCGAGTAGCACCGACAGCACCCAAGCGTTTCGTCATCTCCTTCATACTCCTCTGCCAGGTCATGGGTTGGCCACCTCTCTGTTTACGCCACTCCGAATTGGGTATAGAAAATAGTACTCTTTTCGGTAAACGATGATTCGGCATGCGTAAAACATGTCCCAACCAACGCAGCTTCTGGTGCTGGACACATTCTTCAATGGAAGTACCCGTTACACAACCGAAAACACGCTTTCTAACCGCCTCGTTACGGATTCGCTGACACCAACCCAAACGAGTTATGGTTCTGAGACAACGATTGTCGAAAACCTGAAAGGGTAGGCCACCTCTCTGTTTACGCCACTCCGAGTTCGGCATGGAAAACAGCACTCTCTTCGCATACGATGGCTAGGCATATGCAACACATGTCCCAAGCAACGCAGCTTCTGGTACTGGACACATTCTTCAATGGAAGTAACCGTTTCACAACCGAAAACGTGCTTTCTAATTGCCCTGTTACGGAAAGGCTGACACCACACACGAGCTACGGTGCTGAGACAACGATTGTGGAACACCTGAAGACGCCTCAGGTCCGCTGCTCGAATAGCCCAAGTCTCACAGCCATACAACAAAACAGCCCACACTGTAGCTTGATACACACGTCCCTCGAGATTCAGGGATACACCACTCTGAGGGCATAGTTGTATCAAATTAGCAAACGCGACCACATTGACCTCATCTATCACACTACAATCAAAACTAATACAACTTCCAAGATGCGAAAACGGCCTACAGTTTTCAGTAACTCTCTCTGGATTTTAAATGGCGCGTTCAGGGACTGCACGTTCACGAACAGAACATTGCAATTTTTGGGTGCAAAGTTCATATCAAAGGACAAGATGACTAAAAACACCTGCACCTTCTCCTGTTCGAAGATGAGAACGATGTCGTCTGCGTCTCCAGATCGAGAAAATTTTCTCCACAGGTTATTTGAACACCAGGGATTTGGAGACCCTTCATCATTCGTCTCATTATTTCAGCGATCACGAAGTTAAAAAGGAATGGAGAGAGTGGGCATCCCTGACGGACACCGCTTTGTGTGCGGCTTTTGGAGAGCTCTCCGTACACTCTCACACGTCTGGAAGTCGAGAATACAAAGAACGTATTATGTTCACAAACTTCCGTGGTATTGCTTGGAGGGCAAGCGTGTCAAGAGGAACAGACCGATCAACCGAGTCGAATGCACCTCGGAAATCCAGGAATACTAGAATCGTGGGTCACGTATACGTATGTCGTTGTTCTAGCACCTCATGGAGTGTGAAGATTTGGTCAACGCAATCCCTACCAGGCCGGAATCCCGCTTGCTGCTCTGTAGTCGAAGTTTCAGGAGCAACCGTAAGGCGATGAAGCACAATTGACGCCAACAGTCTCGTTACGACCGGGGTCAAGCTGATTCCCCTGTGGCTACCACACTCACTACCAGCCACTTTTTTGAAAATGAGCATTATCACCGACTCCGTACAATTGTCTGGGACAGACTCCTATGCCCAAATGCAAGCAAACAGATCGGACAAGCGTTAAGTGAGGACTTCACCCCCGCCTTTGAACAATGCGGGTGGGATGTCATCCAGACCAGGAGCTCGGTGGCGTTTGAGAGATCATATGCAGTCGTAAACCTCCGAGGCTGTAGGTGGTTTCACGTTCACCGTCAAGGGTTCTACTTCACCTGTGGGCTCCAGATGTGTGCCAGCTGGTGGCCATGACAATTCTTCGAAATATTCGGCCCAACGGTCGAGGCGTTCCTGTTTATTCCAGATGATCACTCAGTTCCGATCTTTGATGGCTTCACTCACAGGTGGTTTCCGGGGCCCGGTCACATGGCTAAACTGAAATAATCTTCGGGCATTACCGGCTTTCTGGGCCTTTTCGATCTTTCTGATTTTCTGTGTCCACCACACTTCACGGTCGGCTCGCACGCTCACTTTCACTTGACGTCTGATAATTCTTGGCACCGAGTTATGTTCGGGACCGGCTGAGATATTTCGCCGAGATTTAAGCAGTGCCATCATTCGGTCCGATATCCAGTGCTTGCGTGCGCTTGGTGATGCCGTGCCACAGGCGAGATTCCCAGCACTATGCTAAGAGGTGGTAATCTCATCCCAGTATGCATTCACATCTGATGTTAGAGCATTTGGAAGAGACTCTAGAAGACGATTCTGATAAATTCATCTAACATCCGGATCTGCCAGTCTTTCAACTGCCAACCGATCTGTCCGCACCTCAGGCGGCCCAGAGAAACATAGGGAGTCCTATCCATGTCGACCTCCTAATTGAGTCTTAGATAAGCTAAGGCTGCCCACTTGTGCATTCATATATCCGGCAACCACCCCGATATCTGAGCTTTTAGCTCGCCGCAACAGGGCATTCAGGGCATCGTAAAACCTGTCTTTGATGGCGTCGGAGCTATAGTCAGTTGAAACGTAAGCAGACACGATGAACATTCATCTATCAACTTCCCGCTTGTGAGACTTCCTCACAAACGTTATCAGACGAACCGTACAGAAGCGACTATCAACAGATATCCAGCAAAGAAAGGATAATTCCGTCCGGTGACTTAGCACGATACCCACCCATGCACATCCCGCCCCAGCAGCCTCTGGTCACCCGAGGTGAGCAGCCGGAAGCGAGTGGAGACTGACGGGGAGGTTAGCTCAATAACTGTATTTGCATCTTGGATTATCGTTTCTGAGACACAGCAAACATCAATGCCAAGCGAGTCCAGTGTGAGAGCAAGAGCAGCTGATGGCACCGCGCGATGGCCGGTGTGGCATAAGTTTATTTTCATGTGTGCAGTTCACGGTTGTACGTGGGCTGGGATACTGTCAGGGCGCCCACACCTAGACAGGTGGATGATTAAGGTCCTCGAACAAAGCCTTTGGCTCAAAAGCCTAACCGCAAGACAGCAGTGTTTGGCGAGAAATGCAAGTACACGTCACCACACATGTTCCAACCCCCAACCTGGTGGGCCAGGACTGTTCGTCAGACCCCTACCCATCGCCCAACCTGGTATGAAGAACTGTGAGTGTTACAAGGGCACCCCCAGTGTAGCTCAATGGATCGCTGAGGTGCGCAAGCCGTCACACCACGGTAAGGTCGTCTCTTTGTGACGGGAAAGAGAATAATAGGCATCCCTTTTGAGAGTTTCCACTCAGAATAAAAAATAGGGCACCTTGAACGTTGCTTCAGACAGCTTGACAATCACATACAATAAATGGGATGTTGCACGGTTTGCCAAATTGGCGTGCAAAATTGAAGGGTTGATTGACTCAGATCTGTAATTTTATAGAATTGCTTCCAATGTTTCAAAAAAAGAAAACTCAAGCAAATAAAACTCACAGAAGTAATTACAAGGTTTGTGCGAGTTTCATCAGGCGATCCCACGAGTATTCTTGAATGTGGAACGGATGCTGTCGACGCATGTATGCGCCACTTCCACTGAGGAGATTCAAGTGGATGAGTGACTACTCTAGGGGCTGAAAGAAGATGGCCCAGTGAGGTCGGATTTTGGGTGTTCTCAGTAGATGCAGATGAATTCAACAGTAAAAGTACCTTCCCACCGTCGGCGAGGAACTGACATACCTGGTAGAATCGTGCAAGATAATAAACTGGCTGTCACTTATCACAACAAAAGAGAAAGGGGATTTGGGTCACTTAAACGCCGAGGATTTCCGCTCACAGTTATCCGTTAATTATCCTCATACATATCCATAACCACCCTAACCTGATGAGCCTAATTTTCCACTCGGGCGAAGACGGCTCAGTAATGCTCACATAACATGTCATGCTGCAGCCAGATAATGTTTACTATAACTGAGAGACATCGGCGATCGGATGTCTGAAGACGTGTGAGGTCATCATATCGGTGGTGAGGCAAGTTCTATGGCCACTGAGTAGGACTACTCTCATAGCCGTTTTGTAAACAAAGCCCTGTAACCTCAACAATATTCGTTTCTCATACCAAGAGTGACAGGAGTTGGCGAATAATACTCATGTCTTGGTGATGCATCTACTGACATCTGTCATCATGAAGTCACCACAAATGCAGCTGTCAAGATAACAAAACCTATCTCATCCTGAAGTTTTGAAAGGATAGGAGACCTTGGGTTTTCAGGATACAAACGACATGGCGAAACAAGGGGCCATTTCTGGTATTCTATTTAGAGTAGTTTGTGCGGACTCATGATCTCCGAATGAAAAAAAAAAAGTATCACCCGGATAATATAGATCTGTCAGTTTCCCTCGCAGACAATTTCTACATCCACATTCCTAGTCCTCCATGCTGGCGTCAATGATAGAAGTGACCGAGTGAAAGGGGGAAAATTCTCATCAGTTGTGTGGAAACTTTCGGAAAATCAATGCAAACAATAACGCGACCGTAAGCATAGGACTAAATACAAAGCCCGTTGAAAAATCTTATAAGTTATTTCTAGTTGGCTAAGCATACGTAGAACACTCTCCATCATCCTTGAATGACGCTAGGGAGAGTTTACTTGCCACCGCAGCCCGGCGGCGCCTCAAGGCAGAAGATTATATTGGTGCTTCGAAAACTGAGACAAGGTCTAAACTCACAGATCAAGGCTCGAGTTGAGCTGTGAGCTTGAGTTTGTAGGTGACGTCTGGATAAAGAGAATACCGTAAGCTATATCACCGTACATGGATCCCGCATTCGAGTTTCGTGGACGTAGCAGATATTCATCGATACTTCAAGAGACCATCGAAATAGTTTGGTACCCGATTTGCATCAGGGTAACTACATTAAATGGAAACGATACAGAGCGACGGACATGAGCAGTGGCATGCTATCAATCGTCTACTCGGATGCGGGGATGATGTGTCCATGTCTGAGATCCACAAATTCGATGAGAAAGGAAGCGAGTGGAAATAATATCGAAGGATGGATGTCAGCGGCAAACTACTTGCTCTGCTATATGAGGCAAGTTTGGTGACCTGGCACTGGCCGGGCATCGCACAACCGCCGAGTTGACATGAACTTATTCGTATTCGTACTGTTCAGGGTATATGTAAACCAACGTCATGACAGGATGCCCAAACTTAAACAGGAATGCACTCGACAAGTCTGTGGCTCAAAATATTGACCACAAGCCAGTGGTGTCGAAGTAAGCTGCAAGTCTGAGTAATGTAAATCTGAGCCCCATCAGCGAGGCTCAGGAGACTGTGTTAGTCTGGTCTCTACCCATTGACCAACCTGGTATGGGAGACTCTGACAATGACAGAGGTTATATTAGTCATTTATCGGAGCAACTGCAAAGATGCGGTCTGTATTCAATAATCACTTCAGAGAAGCAAGATTTCGGTTGATATTTCCTCTTGATGCTTTTACAGGGCTTCCAAGCATTAAAGTCCACAATTTAAAGTCCGAGCAATTTCACAAGGCTATACAAAGGGATTTTTTACATGAAAGGGGTCACCCTCGGAAACACGCTACAATGGACTCACCAGGGAAAATTCATGATCAAATTCGCTGGCCGATTTGCAGGTGTTCATTGACTCAGGTTCATCGAAAACGACCAATAACTTCGCCGTTGTTTGCCATAACTCGGCGAAGAAATCACTCCGTCTGAGCGGATAAGGCACAACACACTGGTCATCTACCAAGCGCTCAATTGTCCGCATACAGTTCCTATAGAGTTCCGTTGTTGGCTGACCGGTGGACGGGAGCAACTGATACAGGTTCATGGCAGAAGAATCTCGGGGCCTGACTTTTGCAGTAATCTTACTGAGGATGGTACTTATATTTCTACCCATCCGAACGGAGCACGTCGCACTCCAGCTGGCCATTCCCGGGCTGAAATGCAAACGATAACCAAAAAAGACCACTTTTGCGACGTACTCCAAACTGCGGTAGCGACACCTACTGTACGGGCACTAGTCGAGATGACCCCTTCAGTGTGCACAGGGGAATTGTAGAAGCCAAACGTGGAACTGAATTATAGCGGAACCCAGAGTTTACAGAAAACAGTAAAAACCGGTTAAGACTTAGCAATTCATTAAATGCACCTGGTATTTACAGATCTTATATTCAGTGATGGGCCAAAACGTAAATAAGGAATTCGTTCAAATAAGGCACGTGTTGCTGTTTCTTTGGACGAGCAGCTTCCATTCCAAGCCCATCGTGTCACTGTCTTTCTCCCTGCAGGTAACTAAGAGGATAGGCCCACCAGTGAATCATTCTGTGATGGATAAACCATATGGACTGATTCAATCATGATCCGAATTCATTCATCCATGCCATAATGATGACCTTCATCATCAGCTCACTCAACGTGTGACTTGCTCGTACACGAAGACGTTAAGCTGTCAAGTACGAGCACCTGTTCCCCGACAAAATGGTCCCCGGGTTGTACTGAAGTCCAAGTAAGGTAAACAACTGGGCGTCTTTTCCTCCAGGACCTTAACCGCAAGCGAGAAAAAACATTCTGTTGCCAAATGAGAAGCATGTACTGTCGTCGAAGCGTGATATTGCTAAAACACTGGACGTAACGTAAAGTCTCGGTCAATGAACCCCCTGGTCGAAACCCTAGGTATTACGTGGTGAGCTTTAAGCTATTAGTAGTAGTACATCCGGGGTAGGGCAGTCACTTCTCATATCCTCTTGAATAAAGAGCACACTGTCGTTCCGAAATTGGTTTGATCAAGGCAAGACAGACATTCCGCCATCTCTGAATAACGCTGGGGGAGCCCACTCAGCAGTGCGGCCCTCAAGAAGGAAGAGCATATTGATGTTTCAAAAACTAAACTCAGATCACAGCTCGAGTTGAGCGGATCGAGTGAAAGAACGGGACACTGGAGTAGACAACCATCTAAACGATTGTCCACACTATTCAGCTCAGCGGTAAAAACACTTGTCCTCATTAAATAATAAATTTCCCAAAGTATTTTTGATGACCTCACTAACCGCCGGTTCGATCCCGCTTTGTAATGATTCGCCAATCTGTGGTATCTGCTGCTGACCCGCTCCAGCGCCTAATGCCGAAAAAAAGACTCGCAGAAGGGAACATGTGAGCGTTAGTGCGTGCGAGTGCAAAAGTACAACGGCCTGAAGCTATTTATTGGAGGGACCCTGTCTGAACTTGGTCCAATGCTGACGCACACGGTCTGGCTTTGATAAGAGGCTGCGAAGCGCTGCACATTCCGGGGGCGTTGTCTGACATTGATCAACGCTGACTCTCACTGCCTGGGTTTGATGCAAGGCTATGAAGCGCTGCATATTGAGGGGGCGTTGTCTGTCTAGTCAGCATCTGGCGGAGCCGAAAGTCGCAGATTTCGAGTATCCAGTGGTTGCTTTCAGGAATCTGGCCTTCCTGATAGTTCTGGAATCTGGATTACTCAGTGAGCTCTCGGAAACATCATATGCCGGGTCCTTTGCAGTACGGACGAACAGCATAACCCAAGGTAAGGACGGAGGATTCATAACGGATGCCATAGTTTTCGACTTCTCAAAGGCATTCGATCGAGTCCCACACGTCCCGCTGCTCCATAACCTCGAGTTTTACTGGATTCAAGAAATTCTACGCTGGACTGAAGGCTCCTGTCAAACAGAACATTTCGACTTAGACTTCTTCGGCGCCACCCTCCACTAGAGTTCCTCAAGGCTGTTTTGGGACAACTGCTGTTTCTGATCTACGTCAACGACCTTCCAGATTTTCTTCATCGGACTGATGTACCTTTGCGGACAACTTGAAATCCTGGGGTTTAATGCCAGTGCTCTCGAAATGGATTTAGACGCTGCAAAGCAGTGGTCATCGGACTGAATGACGAAAAGTGCATCCATATGTCATTCGGGGGAAACTTATCGAATAACACTATTACCACAACTTTTCGGTTCTTCATTCTTGTGACCTATGAGGAGTTCATGAAAGGCTCCGTAGGATTTTAATAATAAATAGAACCTTAATTGGGTTTATATGCACTGCAACAGCGTTTTTAAGTGTTTGTCCCAGTCGCTCTCCGTCTTTGCGTAAGGTGTAACGCTTTCTTAAATATAATCCCTGGCGGCTTACACGGGCCCTACATGCATGTGATGGGAATGTTGTTGACACAAATCAGTGATACCTAAAGGGTCATTCAGCGACTACGTAAAATTATACAGTCGCAAATGAGGTAATTGTCGTGCAGGTCCAATTTGTATGTGACGAACTAACGATAAATTGTTTCCGAGTTTGTGGAAACGGCATCGGCCAAACTCATCTAACACCTGTCGTGCAGAGAATAAATCAGAAGACATTACGGGGATACATACTGAAAAGGACTTGGGTATGTATCTCTCTTCAACATGTCATTCTCACTGCACTGTGAAAAGTTAGCTTGAAAGGCATTCGCCGTTCTACGGGTGATTCAGCGAACCTTCTGCACGCACTTCAACGGGGTCCATGTCAGAACACTTCTTGAATACCCCAACCAAGTAGTCTACTCAGTTCGCAAGGAAGACGTGTTTAACGAGCTGGTACGAAAGTCCGTTATGGATCGCGTATCACAGGGCTTGGCTTATTTCACCTGGAATATCGTCGACTCTGAGACCCAATGCCCAATTACGCCCCGTTTGAACAAGGTTTGACCAACAGGTTTTTCACCATTGGCCGAAATAACACGCGGCGGGCATAGGGTAAGGTTTTCAAGCTCAGGGCGCACACTTTTATTAGGCAATGGTTTTTCTCGTTTCGGGTATTTGGTGTGCAAAATACCTCCCTCAAACGGCGGTGCACGCTGCACCTAGCACCAAAAAACTTTAAGTCGCCTTTTTAGTCGAATGCCTGCGCTGGTAAGACTACTGCCCCGCGTAGAGAACTTAAAGAGTAGTGCTACGCCCTTTTTGTTGTGCCTTTCAGGTGAAAAGAAGGCGCGGAACACCCAGGAAGTGCTCACACAGGAAGTGCGAGCAAAAGCCTCGGTCTTGTGTATCAGTCCCTGCGTCCGTGAATCACGTTGACAGCTTGGGTGGGTAGCAAACCGCCATGGACCAAACGAGGCCATACCCTGATTGGTCAGAATATGGACCATTCAGAATAGAGCATTTTAGTCTGGCGCCACTCGGTCCCCCGTGAAAAAAATCAAACGCTCTACAATTGCACCTGCAACGGTTTTTTACTACCTCCATCTAGAAGTGTCTTAGGCCCCAATAATCTGCGATAAATAGGTATCGGCGGAACAGCAACCAAAGAACTAGGAGTAGCACCTTAGAGGCACAGTGCATTTATCTGTGAAACCTTTGTGAATGAAACAAAATATTTTGCCCAAAAATGTTACATTTTGTTGTATATCTGCCTAGGCCAAAAGTCACCTAAACCTACATCTACTATTCGTTATTCGTCTGGAGCACATTTGACTTTGATGTTAATGCCCTGTGGCTTCGTGAGTGGCTTCAGGTATGTTTGTCGAGAGCTTGGCGCTTGTATCCCTTTCAACATTTAGGGCGTTCGGGAGGTAGTAAGATGAATACGTGAAGGATAACTACGTGGTATTTGTGCGTTTATCGAAGCACCAATACTGTTTCGCATTACGAGTTGGTATACTACAAATGCAGCAGTTGGTCTGCAAGACAAATGGAAAGTCGAAGAATCCGGGGAAACTTGCAAGCTTAGTGGGCTTCCCAATACAAAAAGCAGTGGGTAAAGCACCAGGTGTGCAGTGCATTCTTGTCTAAGGAGGCAGGTTTCTAAGTTTTGTAAGATCGGCTTCCGGTATATCGATGGCTGACCGAAGAGGATGTGGACACCTGCATTCCCTGCTGGAGTGTGGAACGCCATCATGTCAAGTGCTGTCATTCGTGGGCGATGAATTCAGGACATACACAACTACCGCCGGAACGGTCGACTAGCTGTGTTGGGTAGGTGCCACATACTTAGGCTTTAATGTGGCAGATGATATGCCTTCGTTCCCGACAAAACTGCGCACGTTTGTACTGGATCGGGAGAAGGTTACTATGGCCATATATTCTTGTAGTGGATAACGCTAGCAAATACCATTTCAAAATAGTTAAATCAAGTGAGTAAAAATAGGCGAGATGACACAACTCACAGTTCGTTGACACAGTTAGTTATTACCACCACAATAAATCCAACTCGATCTCCTTCCTGGAATCTTCCTTAATATATTCCAAGCTACTTTCTATCCCGTCGTAGTCTGAAAGGCAGATCACCGCTCGTTAATTCACTGACAGCGTAACTCGACACAGCAAGAAGGGAACACGCTTTTCACGAAGTACAGAATTTGTATTGTGTATGCATCCATATTTCTTTGCTTTCATTTAAACGAATGTTATTCGGTAAGGAGAGAAGAGGAATAAGCCGAGATTTAGTGAGAGATAGAAAGTGGTACAATTTGAGTAATGATAAGTTACAAAGAAAGCACTAATGTACAATGGTCAGAAAGATCACCATATACTTCTCCAGATGGCAGCAAATACCATTGTCCCGACGCTTTCCGGATGTAGCGAATGCCTGTGGAAACCCCCAACAAGCCTCTCTGTATTAGTTTATAAAGTATCTAACGTCCGGCCCGTAAATAAAGGCTTTATACTTTCCTGATCTAGGACGGCTTGGGCACCGGGCGCCCAGTTATATATGCCTTCTTGGAAAATAAACAGTTTGCCCTTTATGCATAAAATATCCGGCTTATTCAGGGAAACAACGGGGAGCAATATCAAGTGAGGACTTTCGTCATGGGCAAGTTGGTGGCACAAATACAGTCTGACAGAGTAGTGTTCGGCTGAAAAATCATGTTGTGCTGCTTCTACATTAGAACAACCATCATCAAGCGCGTGTGTATCATATAACCTCCACGAATCTTCCGTCACAGTCTGCAAACAGCCGGTGTAGATTCTACAGCATGGCGCCTTCGGGCAATGTCTTACAGTAGGCTTTTCGCTTATCCTGATATGATCACGCAGATTAAGGCAATGTGTGCAACCACTGCGCCGCACAGACCCGTTATTCATATTTCATCTCACAGCTTACTTGTTGTGCATCACCAGCGAACGCGCTGTACACACAATCCGGGATGGTCTGCTCTGGTAATGTGACCAACAACCGTCTAGGGAATGCGAACGGCTCTCTGAAATACCAGATGCACCACCCAGACACACTGGAGTACGCCATACAGAATGTGTGATTAGGCATCGTGGACCCCTAGCTGCATGTTAGTCGTGTGCTTCGGCTAGGTCGGTAAAGACGACGTCATCAACGACATGGTTGTCCTGGCAGCTTTTCAAGATATAAAGGAGAACGCTGTTGCCCAAGAACAAACTCGCATAGGTCATTAACATGTGCATGTTTTACGTTCTTCCATTTGGCAATTATTACCGTGGCTTAAGCGACGTCAACACGGAGCACATACTTCTCTATTCGAATGGTCAAGCATATATAAATAGCAAAAATTATTTACAGGATCGGAACCCGCGCATGGTTTGCACTCACAAGACCCACGTACTTTCCAGAGATTTCGGCGAATAACTTCAGCTCCACAAATATATGTTAATTATGTTCACTGTTGGTGGTTCATTCTTGAGCGTACTTCGCGTCACCTCACTACAGTAGCCAACATATTCACTGGCGGCTGTCACCGATGACCTTGATTTGCTCATTTGAAAGATTTCTCCACGTAGATAATTTGCAGAATAATTTCCTATATTGTAAAGTGGTAACCCTGAAAACGTCATAGCTTTCGATAACTCATTTCAGTTGTACGAATACTGAGCGGCGACCCAGCATGAGGGTGGCGATCCACAACCAAGTACTCGCCGTCGCGCGCGCTCCTGGCCTACGTCTGCCGATGTGTTCAATTATCGACTTATTGCACCGGCGGCCTCCCACTCATAGAGAATGCAATTGTCAGAACAAATACAATGAATAAAATTTTGTCAGGCCTCCCTTTCAAGTGGCGTTTAGTTGTCTCGGGATATCATCGTGAAGTGCACAATTCAAGGGATCTAGACACTAGTTAGCAAAGTTGCCACTGAATCAAGACTGATAAACTTGAACCATGTGGACAACACTGGCTTACTATTTGATCATCATCTTCCGACACCGTCTTTCCTGAAGTGAACGTTGGACGGTGTTTAATTTCAGTGTTCGATTTGCATCTTCAGACTACAATGTATTGTCCGGTGGTTTCTTCCCTAATTAGACCTCGGGGGAAGAAATCTGAGTTTTTCAACGGAACCGCGTTGTGCTCAGTCAGTGTGCCGGAGTATAACCAAGCAAGTCAAGGGGTTGTGATATAAAAATGCCCAGATGCTCTCAACCATATGAACACGTACTGTGGGATCATGTAGGATGTGTCCGAGATCCTGAAGGCTGCACTATTTTTCTGTTTTCTGCGGCGGTTGGCGCATTCGACAAAAAGCTGAGTTACTCCGTTGGACAAGGGCGGGCGCGGGGATTATTGTTGTAATTCGAGATGAACAGAGCGATGCACGACCCTGTTCAAGGAATTTTGGGAGAGGCGTGAAAAAATGATGGTGTAGCAGTTGCATCCGTTAATCGCATACATGCTGTGCATCCCGAGGGAGACCCAAGGACTGAAATGATCAGACTCCCCGATCCTAAACGGAGGCAGTTAAAAGGCCAGTGTTGGGTCAGAGACGTGAAGTCACCTTTGAGTTTGCCCTTGACTGAATCACTTAGTTATCCCCATATTGAGTTTTTGGGTGAATTGATTGGAATTCCATCGGCCCACTTTTGTTTGCGTTATGCCCCTCAGAGAGTATGTTTAACCGTGCGTGTCACCGCCTGTCTTCGAAAGGAAATCATTGTATTGTTTAAATTAGACAAATAATCAGTTGTTCTCTTGCTCGGCCATTTTCTCAGCTTCTCAAAATACGTTAACTCCACCTACGAGGCACAATTCCCAATAAAACCGTAAAGCCTTTTCACAACACCAACGAAGCATCAACCGCTCGCTTGTGATACACGAAATCGCACTCTGCCTTTGTGCCAGACACCCAACAAGATAAAGCTAAAGTCAATGAATTCTTTTCGTGGAGTATAACGAACGCGTAATTTGGCAACAGGCAGTGCGCTCCTGTTGAGTTGTCTACCGAGGTGCCTTTCCCATCAGCGTGCTGACATCTGCTCCTGATTTCTTGAGACAAGCTTGCGTTTGTGTATTCTGGTGGCAATTTTTCTTCCAGTCCGGCCAACATAGCGTTTGTCGCGGTCGTTACACGGAAGTGCCTAGATCATGTTTGTCTTCTTCAGTGTATCCAACCTTCCTTTTAGTTCCGACGGGGTTTTTCTGAATATGTTTACAGGCTTAAAAGAGACTGTTATTACGTGTTATCGCAACTTTTTTGCAGTCATCCGTTGCGACGTTTTTTTTATATGTTCGTAGGCGGGATCCCATTCTGTTCTGGCTGTACCGGCAACTCAGCTTCGTGCCGGTTTCGCAAGCATCCGCACATGAAGTTCTTCGAATGGTCATTATTTTGGAATGTCTGATAAAGTCTTTGCTTTTCTTCATCAAGCCGAAAATATGGGTACTATATTAGGACGACACATTTGCCATCGTAAAGAATCAACCGCCAAACAACGTATATCCCGACATTTACCTCACAATGAAAGCGGAGGAAAACAACAAATTAACGTTCCTGGGTGTGCCAGTCACAAGGACAACAGATAGCCAACTGAAATATACAGGCAAGAAAAAACACAGGGGAGAAACGTTCACAAACAAGACATTCTAAAATAATGGCTACTCAAGAAACTTCGTTCGGCGATGCCTAAAATACCAAGCTGATTTGCCAACATAGCCAGAACAGAGTAGGATCGCGTTGCCATACATGGCAAAACGTCAGGGAGATGACTGCAAGAAGTTTGCAGCAATACGTAATAACACCGTTCTTAAAACTGAAAGAAAGACTGGATGCAATGAAGGGGACGAACGTGATCTACATACTTCTGTGTAACGATTGCGACGAACGTCGTGTTGGCCAGACTAGAAGAAAACTTGCTACCGGAATGCATGAACACAAGCTTGTGAGCAGGAAACATTAAACGATGTCAATTGTTTTGATTCCCGGAGACAAAGAAGGACATCAGTGCTTAAGGACACAATGCTTAAGTACTTGCGCACTAAAGAAAAACGCGAGAACGAAAGTTTGCCGGGACATGGTCCGCCACGGAAAAAATTAATCAATAAACACATCGATGTCAACCCCATCTATCAGCCGCTGCTGCCGTCACTGCACAATCACGGGGCTCTGAACCATATGGGGGAACAAGCAACCCGGCAATAACCAACTGACCAGTGGAACCAAATAAACACTACTAAAAATAGGAGGTTGCTGAACCAACCAATCGGGTGGAACAAATTGAGACCCCGAAGCAGAAGAGAATGGCCCAACCGCAAGAGGTGAACAGGACTGCCGAATTTATAGCGCTCAGGAAACCACGACGCAATTCACAAATTAAGCAAAAGCTACTTCAGGACTAATCAAACGCTTTAGAGCTATTGGATACTGTTTAGGGACTATATAAGCACAGGCAGAGTAGGAATAATCCATCAATTGAAATCCATATCTGGCTGGTGATGAAGCCTTTGCAGTCCGACTGTCGAGCTCGCCGAACAGACCAAAAACCGAACGTACTGTCAAGTTATGGGACAACATAGTCATTGATATGACTGTGGCCAGCTGGTTGGCTTGTAAAGCCGCTGGCTACCCAAGATATCTGGAACTACCAAGTTAAATGCTTACCTTTTCAAGTAGATAGTTGTTAAACTTCTGCTCATTGGGGCAGAATACCCGTTTTCGGTTAGCCTTAGGCTCCGTAACCGCGGTCGTGTTCATTTAGTACGATCTAGTGCGGCTATTGTTATTCGGCGGGTAAAAATGATCTCCTGTGGAACAAGATGTTCTCAAATTCACCACACCAGGCGTATAAACATGTGCCTAATGGGTCTTTCCGCGACCAGTTGATGTGGGTAAATTTTCTAAACAAGCAATTTCTAAGGTCATTAAGTACCTCGAGATAAGAAAGTGTTCGATTAAATGAAATGGCTCAACTGGCGGGAAAACGTGATTGGCTAAAGCTGAAAGCATGTTCAAGAATTTCTGTAAGGGGCAGAAGACTTGCTCCGTACGCAATTTTTAGTGCCCTCCTAGAGCTCGAAGCGCAAGTATGTGTCCGTCTGTCCCGGGAAGCGTAATACGGAGAACCATGACAGAACACTGGTCACATGGTTGCATGGACGTGGTGCCTTAAGTCATGGAGTTTCAAACAATTGGCAAAAGATCTAAACGTTTTCGTAAATTGAGGCCTAGGCCCGGAGGTCAGATTTCCTTTGACAAACTGCCAAATATCACGATGAAAGCAGTACGGCACAGCTAACAGCAGAAGTCTCACGGTTAAAATGTTCCTAGTTAAGAGGCCCTCAGTAGTCTAGGAGGGTTGCCTTCTGAATCCATACTCCACATATATATATACATCATGGGCTAATTAGCATGACACCAACCGCGAAAAACCAATATAAATTGAGGAAATACCCCATGCCGTTAGTTAAAACTATTCAAAGTTTGCATCTTCCATGATATCATTCTAAACGAATACAGTCCATGTGCACGGCCACATTGCGGCACGCAGTCTGTACTACCTATTGCAATGCGAGACGAAAATTAATCCAGTCACATTGGATGGTTGAACAAAACCAGCTCACGTGTGCAACAGAAGGTGTGCGAAGTCCGTGATCTTCGATCGACTTGCTAGAAGCGTTCACTCCATTCCTTCCAACTAAGGAACGCTTCTATTGTACCAGGAACTAGAAATAATGTTCCGCTTTTTTCGATGTTTCGATGAGTGTGCGTGCTCTGGCAGGAAATTCTGAAGGCTTTCGGGTTGCACCGTGTTAACTGTGTTACCAGATGCTTCAAGTGAATAGAAGTAAGGAGTTATCTCTATTTAATCCAGAGCGAAAAACAACAATTCCGACACTGCCTTAGCTTTACAAAGTGAAAATTTTGAAGGCCAAAAATCCCCTGGGGCATGAAATCATACTCCAATAGCGATCCCTACATTCGCTGTCACCTACAAGGCGTTTTTTAGCCCACATTATCACTGCAAAGTCCTGCTAAATGCGTGAAACATCAGCGACGCTGGAGAGTTATTCCACCTGACTTTTCCGCCAGAGGTATGATT